CCGCCGGACGCGGCGGCGGGGTCGCTCCCGCGCCCCACCCGAAACTTGGCGAAGACGGCGGCGACGGCAGCGGTGACCGAGGCGATGGCCACTTTACCGGCGCCATCGGAGGAGGTCGGGGTCACCTGTCCCCCCACGACTTCGCCGGTTTCAGACAGACGAACCAAGGTCCCGCCATCGCCCTCCCCCGCGGGGATCCAGGAGTATGGGCCTAGCTCCGGGGAGACGTCCCCGCCCCCGCGGAGTGATGAAAGCAGCGGCTTTCTGCTGCCATGATTGTGGTTGGCCCAGGCGGTGCTCCGTGCTGTGTGGGAGGGGCAGGCGTGTTTGGGATGAACGCGAGGGGCGTGGGAGGGAGGGAGGGAGGGAGGGAGGGAGGGAGATGCCGGGTTGAGGACTTGGTGTCGCGGCATTTCCTGCGGCAATACAGTTGCCGTTCTGTTCTACGATGCAAAGCAGGACAAAACTGAAACCACTCGTTCGATCCGTATCAACTACTCGTAGAAAATACTCCTACGATAATAGTTGTTTGATGGTAACGGACGCGCGGCGGAACCGTTGAGGACAAGGGTCGCAAACGTGGGCCGGGAAGAAGTCTCGATGATTGGGTATCTGTACCACGTGCGTCCCATGTTGCAAAGCATCACGGCGCTAACTGGTTGGCCGACGAACAAAGGCAGGGGCGAGAGCGTGTGAACGTAGATACACAGGCGCCATTTTTCCTCTCTGTCTTCTTCAAGCTGGACGGCGGCGGCACAACCGGGGTTCTATACAATTCCGCCAACATGTGTTCCGTTTACGTACCCACGGGATCAGATGGAGATGCCAAATAGCGCCCGGTGACTCGGGAGGGAGGGTCTACTTCCATAGACAGGTGCGCACGTTTATAAGCGTTCCTGCAGTTTTGAGTCTTCCTGGTGGTCTCTTTGGAGGTAGACATGTCGATTGACAAGCGACAGGCGGCGGGTTTCCAGCCCGTTGCCTCAATCACTGGCGGCCGAACCCCAAACCTTCACGATACCATAGGCCACCGAGGAGCTTGTTTTTGTTTAGAGCACGGTTTCTTTGTGTCTTAGGAAAGCGAGGTTGCTGTGCCCGCTCAAATCGCATGCACACACCAATACAAAAATGTGCGTGGGTGCCTACATAGACCAAATATGTAGCGTGCAGACCTAACAGCAGTGAGCTTGCCTCTTCCGGCCATATGAGAACAGCACCTGTGCTGCACGTGGTACTACTACTTTAAGTATGATCATGTTTGGATTTTCGTTGAGAAATGGTGGGTTGCTTCCCCATCGGGAAGGGCACCGTGTTGCGCTGGCCACTAACAGCCCACATGAACTGCATCCCGCGAAGATACGTCTCACGTGTGAACGTCTATTATTGTAGGAACGGCGGAGGACACGTGTGCCGTCCTGCTCCCAAAAAACAGCCGCCCAAAAGAGGAAGACATGTGCCACGCCAACGATACAGGAAGCGCCTATCTCCCAGCTGTTCCTTCAATGGAGCAAGCACCGTTGGTAGTACACGACGCACGCACGCCTGTCCTCTTCTCTCTCCTCTTCCGAAAGAACTACTGCCTGGTGGCGCAGCAGCAGCTGCGAATGGATTTCGGCCGCAACTGCTCATGTCACTCAGAGCGACGTGAACATCATGCAACGCATGTCCAGGAGTAGTCATGACGGCCGCGGCGGCGGCGGTACGCATACATACACGCACGAAGTACCACGAGAGCAGCTTCCCATGCGTACTACCGGAGGAGAGACCGCCCGGTGTCCCAAGCTGTTGCATGCTCGCGTAGGCAGCAGGCTCGATGATGGAGCATTGTTCTCGAATGCGGTTGCTGCTTGATGTTACACATACGTACGATAACCCGGGGATTGCGGGCGGACCTTGTCTTGTCGTGTTTGGCGCGTGTGTAAGGATCGTTGCTGATTGATGGTGGCGTGCGTGTCATGCGAGATGCATGAAGCAGTGCGGACGAGGGTGTGCCAGGGTCAAAGGAACGACGCGCGTAGCGTCGGTTGCCACTCACCGCTGCTGCCTAGCCTGCCGAGCTCGCCCGCGTTGCCGAGGGCCCGGCCGTTAGCGCCGCTACGGCTCCTCCTTGTTGTTGTTGCTTTCGATGTGGCGCGTCCGGTAGTCAACAGCAACGTGCAGCACAAGGCTGCGAGCGCGCGCACGCACATCGTGGCGCCTCCACCGGCCATGGTACCCTCAGCTTCGCCGCGCGCTCCTAACAACGCCCCCGACCGAACACGGTCTAGACGAAAAAAGGATAGGGGGCGAGACAGGAAAGGGGGACGAGCATACCCGTGAAACCTTCAAGAGCGAGGGCAACTCGACCCGTTTTTTTTTTTTGCGGGATGCTTCCAGCCTTCAGATCAAGAATGCATTGTTTTATGGTGATATCATCCGCAATCATCCCGTTTTATGTTACGGTATAATTCCATCTTGCTCAGGCCCTGATTTGCGGAGCGCTGGCCAATAATAAAAAAATATGCCACGCCCCATCTCGTGGCGTTCCAGCGTACCCGCCCCTTCCCCGCCGAGCGCTGCACTCCTCTCTACACTATCGCACAAGCGGAAGCACACGACAGAAAGTCAAGATGGGACGCGGTGCCGGAAAAGGTGGGAGGGATGCTACGCCATGGATGGCAGGAGACAAGCAGCGGTTTAAGGGCTTCAGCAGCAGCCCCGACCGGCCTGTATCCTTCTCCCTCGAGGTCAGTTTTGGGGACGAGCCACCTCAGAGCCAGCCCCGAGATGAAAATAGAGCGTCGCTGCTGGTGGTGTGATGGTGCGGTCTGACCGCAGCAACCCAAGCCTCATGAGCTGCAGGAGGGAGGAAGATCGTTGAGCTTAGATGGCGTGGTGGCGGGGTACGTGCCGGGCGGGTTTCTGTCTCCCCGATACGCATACCCATAATAGCGTGAATTTCCCGAGATGATGCTGTCAAGCGCCAGGCGATGCGTCGACGACATGACAACAACAACACCCCTTATATTGATGATTCCGTCAAACGAATCTACGCACGACGCGCTTGCACATGCAGGAGGTGCAAAAGCACAGGACCCCCTCAGACGCCTGGATGATCTACAGGAACAAGGTGTACGACGTCAGCGGGTGGCACGAGGTGCGTGGTTTGTGGCTTGACTGATATCGTTGTTGTACACAAGCCGGGGGAAATGTAAATGTTCTTCCAAATTATTGGCAACCGACACACGCAGAACCAGCTGCTTCTGTGCCCCCGAGTGCCCCCCATATTTTGAATCCCGAAGTACCTCCTAATTTCGGCAGGAAGCGCCGGTCGCCATCAACGCCCCCCCCCCCCCCCCCCCC